ACTCGTCACCTACCCCTTATCCATATCCATATCCATCCCATAGCTATAAGCAAACCTCATTTCACTATTGCTCTAATCTAATTACCGCCTCATTACCTTACTAAGCCCAGTCCACATCTCAACTATATACCGCACTGCCAAAATATCCCCATACCAACAATAATACTAAATATAACAATACAGCCAAAAGTAATAACAATACAAGTAATATAACAACATAATAACATTTAATAAGTATACAGAGTAACAATAAGTATACAACACACAAGTATTACGTATCATATAATAATCTAATTACTCGTTCGCTATTCATTAATTAAACATCCAAATTAAATACCAAATGACATATTGCCACATTCACCCAAAACTAATTCAATCATTTAAAATTTAATTTCATTCAATCAAATTACTGCTGTCCACATTAAATTGTTCTCTCCACAACACATAACTATATAAATAAGCACACAAAATTTCATTACAGCTTATTACTATTACTCTCTGCCTTACAGCCTATTACTTATTACTCATTACAGCTTATTACTAGTACTCTCTGCATGATCTGATCTGATCTGCTCACTTTGTAATATCCGTAATAAATACGAATTTAATTAACTAAATCCACCATTCCAATATGCCCCAATATCTCATCCCATTTCCCTTGGTCACAAATGAATTTACTATATTCTCGCTTCTAAGCTAGATTTCTTATTCTAATAATGACAATTACAATCTAAAATCTGTTAATTAAACAAATTAATTAACTGATTTCAGATCTAATTAATTAATTAATCAAATAAATTCGCTAAAACGTTCGTCTTTAATCTATCAAATACGTGTTTTTAACAGGCAATCATCTTAATTTCCATTAACATTCCACCCTCCAATTTACCTATCTTATTCACATTAATATCAAACCGAAACCGAATACGATACGATACTTTAGCAGACCACAAAAAAGACCCCTGTTCAGGTCACTATCAAATCATTAATATTACTATCATAATTATTATAACTATTCCATATAATTAATTACCCAATAGAGATAGTCACCAAACCGCTCATGCATTAAACACGGGCATGAGAAAACCGCTCACTCATTAACCCTAATTACTATTATTTTTAATATTTACTCCTTCCCAGTGCCCATTTCAACTCACGATAAAATATATTAACTGCAGAATGTGCACACGTCCACTCCGCAAACAAATAAGTAAATAAACCTCTCAAGTACCACACACTTCAACTCAAGTGAAGTATTCACGGCTATAACCGCAATAACAAATAACAATAATAACAATAATAATAATAATAAATAATAATAATAATAAAGACAACGAATCATTTTCAAAACATCCGTCAAAATCTCCTAAAATACAGATTACATTATAATAATCATCTCGTTTCTAAGAATCTGCCGATTGAACTCACTTAATTTATCAATCCTATATTCATTTTATCATAATAAAATAATCACCCATCCAACCAACCTCACCTAAAATAATCCATCGCATCCCCCAAATTCCCTCAAAATTAACCTTCTGCTAATTAATTAAGAACGTGCATCGCAACCATCACCACCACACAGCACTACCCATAAAAGTCCTCCCAAATCGCCACACATCCTCGCCTAATGACCACTCTAATTACCCCCCACCCCACCTAATGATCTAATGAAATACCTCTCTCCTCTCACTCAAATAACCCATCCCTGCTATGACCTCTAACCCTGTAATGACCATCCATTCCCTTCTCCCATTCAAATTACGATCGAATCGAATCGAATCGAATCCATTTTCAAATTTCAAAAGGTCAAAGGTCACCTCAACCTTTCACTACTCAACACAAACAACAACAAAAAAACACCACGACAAAGACGACGACGACAATAGCCACCGACCATCGGCAACTGTAAACGTAAACGCGTCAGATGCACCGCCATACGTGTGCGTACGCGTACGCGTATGCGTATGCGTCACCCCGTCTCTAATTTCATTACCGCAACAACAAGGTGGATGCGCTGCTATGCGCATGTGTTAATTAGTAGCTTTATAACCACAATAATAATTACTATTACTATTAATTACTTTTAATAATATACTTCCCTAAATATGGTTCAGTGAATATTAACAGTATAATTANTTAACAGTATAATTACTTCTTTCCGTAAGTCACCTTTTCATCCTAATAGTAATAATAATAATAATAACTATACATAATAAACATCCAACCACCCAAATCGCCTAAATAAAATAATAAACCCATAAAAATAATAAATAATCACTACAAAAAACAACCAACTCACCAGTACAAACACTCTCTTTCGCTGACCCCATATACCCAGCGTTACATTTGCACTCTCCCGTCGGCATATCCCACGCTCCAGTGGCCTTGCACACGTAAGTTGGTTTTAGAGTACCTTTAATATTACACATAATAATAATAACAATAATAACAATAATAATACAATAATAATAACAATAATAATAATAACAATAATAATAACAATAATAATAATAATAACAATAATAATAATCAAAATAATCAAAACCGAACCAACTGGACTCGCATTCTCCACACACCTGCCCTGCACGGCGATAATCGAATGTGCCTCAGGCCCGGTTATCGTCTGCGGAAATATAATGAAGGACCGCTTCACTTCAGCACACACCTCGTAATATATCTGAAAATTACATAATTAATAAATAATAAGAAACAATAATATAGTCATAATAATAATAATATATAACAAATAATAAGAAACAATAACAATAATAATAATAATAATAATAATAATAATAATAATAATAATACTAATAACCAATCCCGATGATAAGATAACGTCTGAAAGCATTAACAAACAATCAAAATCCAGTCCAAATCCCGACCTAAACTAACACCAAATTCTACGTTGTTATTCTACCCCATTAAAGAGGTCAATTCTATCACTACACCCTCGAAACTTACTTACTTCTACTATAGTATTACTGTATACATTACAATAATAAACACACAT